CTTCTTCAGTATATAATATTTGCATTTCAGATACCCAAAACACATTCATAGCAATATTCATAGCATTAAATATGGTAAAAGGCAAAATGATCCGAGGAGAAAAAAAACACCATAGTTTTGTATCGCACACCTAAGCGACAGACCATTAAAATTAAGTGTCCTTTGTAAGCTTTTTAATTAGCTTCCTAACCCATTGATCTTACCAACGCATGTTAGTGCTCGTACTATGAAGTTTTATCGTGCCTTCATAAATAAGACTTTTTAGATAGCAAGCTAGATTTGCCTTGGATGAAAATTACATGATCTGAGACTTCAGGTAAAAAGAAAACGAGATTGACATTTTGGTGGTTACCTTTATTACCAGGACAGCAGTTGTCATTTCAGGTGACCAGGGCTAGCATGGGGCAGTGAATACCTGATGTGGAGACGGCTGTGTTGTGAGAAATCAATTTGGCTGAGTAAGAGGCTTTGGCTGCCAGGATTGTGATTTCTGTTAACGCTGTGAAACAGTATGTTTACAGAAAAGGCCAGACAGGGAGAGCGCTGTGGCTGTCCCAACAGAAGAGATCAGTTCAAGTCCCTGTCCCCAGGGCAGAGTTGCCTTCGCTTGAAGGAGAAAGAATCATGTGCATTTGTAGAGTCACCTGAAGTGTTTCTAGTTCTGAATGCTATGGTTGCTATTGATAGTAGCTTGTGAACCAATTATGAGTGACTACGCACAGAGCTGTAGATGCGGCCCTTGTCCTTAGGCCTTCAGAGGCAGTGGCGTCTGCATATACGATGTGAGTGGACCCCTGGTTTTAGGCCCAGAGGAACTGGAGTGTGGGGGTGTGGCAGTGACAGTGTTGTGGTTGAGGGTTCAGTGGAAGATGGAGTTGGGGTTCTTTCGCCTGTACTTTCCCCTGAAGTGCTTGTGTTCTAAATGGAATATGTTTAGTAGAAATTCTGGTCTCAGTGGACAAAGTGGCATGGATAGTATTCGTTGTAATTTCAAATGAATGAGGTTTGGCACGGCTGTCATGGTGGAGTAGAAAGTGCTTTCAGACTCAGTGGAAGCAAACGTTTCTGTGGTGGTCCTAAGTTCAGTGGCTGTAATGAAACAGATTTCTCAAGCAACCTATTATGGTAGATTCACAAAACGTTATAAGGTGGCTAAGGAGGTGTGTGCTCCACTGAGGGAGTTTCTGCTGAAGTCTGGTGGTCAGGCCAGGTGGAATTCTGTCAGAATTTTAAATACAATGGTGGTATCATACTCAACTGAAGTATGTGTTTGTTTGGAGGTGTGTTGATAGGCGAGGTTCATAGCAGGTTCACTGAAAAGGCTACTTTTGTTTTCCTTTTCTTTTTTACTGTTTGCCTTTTTTTTTTTTTTTTTTTTCATTACACTACATAGTGGTTGCTGATATCTTTGTTGACTTCACTCTATATGGTTCCTTGCCATTCTCCCCGCCTTGCACCCCACCTCCCCACACCCCATCCCCAACCCCCACCACCCCCACCGTGACGGCCCTCCCTGAGGCGTGATTGGTTCCGCCTTGGGACCCAACTGGGCCCCTCCTAGGGCACAATTTGGCTCCACCCCGGCAAGTGATTGGTTCCACC